AAAGCATGCAAGTGCTCACCTCCGGGACCGCCACGCTTTCAGGAGCCAAGTCTGCGCGGAGAGAGAGAATATCTTTCCAACCAAGGCTTATAGACACTCCGGGGGTGTGCAACCCCCCCTAATTACAAGGAGCTACATACATAGGTAACAAAGTGGGCTGTACCCTAACCCTAAAAGTCCCTGGCTACATAGGAAGAGTAATCTCACACCAGTGCCGGGGGGCAGGTCAGGGGGAGTGGCTGTCTTCAGAGCCTAGAGAGCAATAACACACGTCTGCCCCTATAGATAAAGCTGCCGGCTACCCAGAAAACAGCCATGTGCTTGTAAGAGGTAACTTTAAGGGAGCACTATGATGGGAAGATATAGTGGGGAACAATATTAATTATGAGAATGTGATTGGGACTCACCTCCAACTCTTAAGGATAAAGGCCTCCCTCCACCCCAGAAACCAGCCTGCCAGGCCCCTTAATATATGAGACTAAAGGACTCACCCACATGCACTCTCTTCTGGTTATCTCCTTCGCACAAGTTCTTTAGTGCTTTTATAAAGGAGCCTTTTTGCAGCTGGTTTGCACAATGCAAGGCGCTGTTTCATTTCCCGACTCTTGCCGCGGTGGGTGTTCACTGCCGATCCGGGTAAAATGGAATCATGGGCATCTTCCGTCTCTTCTCTTTTTATCACGACGCTGTCTGCTGGTCCGTTGTCTGTTTTTGCTTACTTTCCATGGAGTTGTAATTCATACGGAAGGCAGTATTCTTCGGTTTTCAAATCATCCTAGTGTTCGGCAAGCAAAGTGGCTTGGGTCATCTGCATCCAGCAGGTTTTGAACGAGTCTATCACCGCTCTGAGTCACGCTCTTCTTCAGAGAGCCAGCCTCGTGTTGGCACACCAATCGAATAAACATGGTGAAAGGAGATCACCCTGATGCACCCTTTCCCCGAGTTCAAACCATTCTTTATCCCTTTGCTCTGCTGAAACGCTTGCCTCTTGGTCTCCGTACACAGGTCTTGCAGGAGCTCAATGAAGTGTTCTGAAATTCCCATTGCTCACATCATCCCTACAATCCACACAGTCAAATGTCTTTTGAAGTAAATAAAATCCAGGGAAGCTTTTTTTTTTCTCCCTGGTACCATCTGCTTTCAGCCAAGATCTCTCTGACATCAGCAAGGCTACCCCTTGTTGAGTTGGTTGATATGGGAGGCATCTTGGGAGGATTGCAAAGGATCTAATCGTTGATTTGGTTAGTCTTCTGAAGCATGAGCCACCAGCATTGGAACACAAGACTCTCATTGGTACAGCGCAGGAGGTATTATAGAGGTTTAGGGAAATTGGCACATTAGAGTGGATTTAAAAACATGGTGCATGGAACCCTGTGGGGATGAGTCGATTCAAATTAGGTGTATGGAACCTTAACAAGGGGATTGGCCCATTTTGCCATACAGCCTGGCTTAAAAGTAAAGCCAGTAGAGTGGGGGTGGGATGGCCTCACCACCAAGAAGAAAAACCAGGACTAGAGTGTATCCTTTGGATCTGGGGTCCCTACACTGAGCACCGCCTAGACCCAAGGACACAGAGAGGCGTTAGCATTGAAGAAGGAGTGAGATGGCTGGAAAGGACAGCCAGGGCAACAGAGCCGTGGCAGTATCAGGATCAGGAAACCACACAAGGAGCTTCTCTGAGAGAGGCAGCTATAGAGGGCGAGCCAAGCCGCAGAGAGAGCGAGGGAGAGAGAGAGTGGAGTACCTCGAGGCAGGAAACTTGCCTCCACACACATCTCAGCAGAGCTCAAAAAGCTTTGTGTAACATTTACCTTAGCGGGGCCTAGAGAGGAGCTTTGTCATGCTGGGGACAGCGCAGCCTGTCGTCCAGAGGCTGAGCTTCAGGGCCCAGGTCTGCATGCACGGCTAGAGAATCTGTCCTGGGGAAAGAACGGTATCCCAGGCTGCACCTGCTACTTGTCCCGAATTGACCCAGCACCGTGGGTCTCTGTGTGTCCACTGCACAGAATTCTTGAACACCGAGGACAAGTGGAGAGTGCTGGGGGAGGGGCGGCACCAAGGCTGATAAAAAGGCTGAGCAAGGAGGTGGATTTGACCTCCACCTCATAGGATGCTACTTTGGACCACTGAGGCTGGCAATGACTGCTCCATTCTCTCCTCCGCCTTGCGGCGTCTGTCATCAATACGGAGTCACTGGTACCCTGACACACGGGCCACGGGGGCGTCCAGGGGTTAGAACCACTTCAGGAGTAAGTTTGACAGTTTCTTTAAAAGCTAAGCACCTACTTGCCGTATGACCCAGCAGTTGCACCCAAGAGAAATGAAAACCTATGTCCGCATAAAGATGTGTGTGAATAGCAACTTTATTCAGAATAGCCCCTCCAATCGAAGACTCACAGATGCCCATTTGTTGGTTAAACACAATGTGGTCTATCCCCACAGCGAAATAAAAGGCCAGCGGTGGTTGCCTCTCAACACGGCGGCAGGTGACGTAAAAGAAACCGGTCACAGAGCATCCCATCGCGATGATGTTCTAGCAAAGGGTGAATGGAAGCAGCAAAAAGCAATGGTTGCTGGGCCCAGGAGCCCGGACGGATTCAATGGGTACACCGAAAATGGGTGACTTTCCCTGCAGGCGGATTATTCCACAATGAAGCGACCTCAAAAGTATTAACGGTTAGCAAAAGCGCCAGGAGCCCGTTTTTGGAGAGCCGACTGTACATCAGCAGGTCCGAGGAGCCTAGAGGCATGCAGGGGCTGGCGGGGGAGGGGGCTCTCTGAAGGACTGCCTGGAGCTTCAGAAGGAAGGGAGCATCATGCACCCAGATTCTCAGAGAGCCAAGCTCCTCCCGCACAAGGTCCTCAGCCTGGTCTCCACATGTCCCGGCCTGCCATCTGGTGGCCAGAGGAGGCACGACAGGGATCTTGTCCACTCGGAACCTGGTGTCCTGTGGTTGGGCTTCACGCGGTGGACTTCGCCTTGGGAAAACTGGTGCAGCTGAAGGGCAGGGTGGTCAGAGGGAGACCCATGGGGGGTAGGGGAGGGGAGGCGGCTAAGGTCCATGGGACAAGAGATATGGTCTCTTAATGACAGAGGAAAGACAGGTCTTGGTGGAACAAAAGGCAGATTGAAGACAATTGGGCACCTTGATTGAGATAAAATCAGAAATGGTTCCTTTCTTTCTTTTTCCCTTTTTAGTTTGGGGGTGAAGCTGGAGGTATCAATGAGGTACTTGGGAAAGCCAGTCGGGTGCATGTTCCCATTGAGCAGGGTTTGGATGTGGTGGGAGGAATTCTGAAAGGCAAGGAAAGCGGACAGCGAGGCCCTCAGGGGGCCCTGAGGGGCTGTGGCCCACTCTCTAGAATATTTCTGGGCCACCTGAGCCCTCCATGACATTCTGGGAAGAACCCTGCCGAAAAACAGCATGGGCTGCTACAGTTGTGTGTGTGTAGGGAGGGGGGTGGACAGGACCATCTCCTGGCTCTCCTGGCCCCATGTGGCTTGGCCAGGCTCCAGAGGCCCACGGACATGCCCATCCTACTTCCCACAAAACTGGGGTCGGTCATTTCTGCCAGACAGACAGAAATGGGTGGGTTGTCAATGACTGTGGGGGGAGGTCAGATGCGCAGGCATTCCCTCCCCTGAAGGCAATCAGTTGCCAGACTGCTGTCTCATCCCTCCACAGGGGTGGGCCTGCTCCCTGCCTCTGGGGACAATGGACAGGCTCCTGTAGGAGGAGTTTTCACCCTACTGATAATGTTCCTATGGAGACCCAGAGACCACCCCCTAGACCACCCTCTCATTGCTGTGTAACCTATAGTGCAGCTCCTCCCTGTGACGTATGTCTCTACCTGTAAATGTGGGCTGGCATGCCCCCAAAAGGTATATAGGCGTGAGTCAGCAATATAGAGCTCTCTGACCTCTCGGACCTCTCTGACTCTCTCTCCCCCCTCTCCTCTCCAGTCCTCTCCCTTGTTCCCTTGCCCTCCTTCCCTTCCCCCTCTCTCCACGTGGACCACCAAGCTGGGCTGAGGTGAGCAATGCTACCATGTAATGTGTCTGACTGCATCATTGTAATATCTCTCATGTTCTCGATGACTCTAATATAATACTTATATATCTCAACCGTACAATTGTGCATTACTGAACCCAGAAGTAGTATTACTGAACCCGCGATCAGCGGGTGGGGGCTGGCCCCCCCCTCAGCCATGCCACTTTTAATTTAATACTACAAATGACGGAAGGCATTTCATTGGCGGGACGGTGACTTTAACAGTCTCAGTAGTTGGTGACCTTGACGATCAGGTTCTCAGAGCCCTGAGGAGCCCTGGTGTCACCCTTTCTACTGGCCACAGGCAGATATGAGGACGTGAGGGGCTTGCTGACAGGTGGCCTGGCTGAATGCTGCTGATCTTGTTTGGGCAAAAGTTCCAGAAACATCTCTGAAAGTGCAGAGGGGCCTGGAGGTGCAGGAGAGGAGAGGAGGTGGGGCGCAAGAGTGGAGATAAGGGAAGGAGGATGGGGTCTGAGGGAGGGGTCCGGGGCAGGTTTGGCTACTAACTGCGTGCAGTAGGTGCCTGGTCTTGGCACAAGGGACTCCATTTTGAACCCGGCACCTTCTTGGTTCTCAGAACTCACCTCTCATGGGCCTCCCTCACATCGGCCTCCCCTCCCCTCGCTGAAAATCACCAGTTCTGAGAACCAGATATCCCTGAGAAAGAATGTTCTTTGAAGATATGTTTACTTCACCTACCCCGGTACCTATAGATAAGATTAACGACCAATTCCCTGCATCCCTTGAAGATGTGTTTATTTCACCCGTTCCGGACCTATAGATAAGATTAATGAGCGCTTCCCTTTGAAGCCCCTGTGTGCAGCTGTGCCTGCCACCAGGGGATATAAAAACACAGCCAGAAATTCCCCTCGCGCGCGGTTTCATTAGCTCAATACCTGAGTTACTGAACCCGCCCGCAAGCTTCTCAATAAAGCCTGCTTCTAAAACTTTACCAATTGGATCTTTAATTCCGTTTCGTGCCCCAAAAACCCTTACAGCAGGTACTTGATAACTGTTTGCTGGGGGGATGCCTTATACAATGAGAGAAGGGCAGGCTGAGTGAGGGCATAAACTCCTGGCTCCTTGGTGGGGCGCCTTGGGCCAGGGCGTTACAACTCTGCATGATTCTCTTTGCCCAGGATCTTCGTCCAGAAGTGGAGCCTGCTGGACTTTAGGGCGCGGCCCACCTCAGGATGCAGGTTCAGCTGCAGGTATTGCGACTCCTGGTCAAACAAGGGCCAGTGGGGCAGCCCCTCGCCATTGGGGTTCCTGGAGAGCAGGCAGACGGGGCAAAGATCACTAGGAGCCCTGCTGAGCCCAACCCCAACCCCCTGACTGGGGCCAATGAGCCAGGTGGGCCTGAGAAGCAAAGGGTGGGGGCCCTGATGCAGCATAGGAGCTCTGAGGAGCAGGCCACCTGGTCTATTAGCCACCCAGCCTCCAGGGCCCAGGGAGATGGGACAAGAACCCAGCCCCCTCTTCCATCCTGTGGGTCCTGGGGCTGGAAGGAGGGACACCTGTAGGCTCACTGGGTCATCACCGACCAGGGCAGCTCTGGATGGATACAAGCCCCGACAGGTCGAGGTAGGCGGGGTGGAGGGGGGGGGGGCATCTCACCCATTTCGAGCAAAGTTAGCCCAGTACTTCATCATCTTCCGGCTCAGCAGCTTCTCCTCCTCAGTGACCTCAACTGCAGAGAGATCAAAGGTCCCCGGCAGGGTCAACCCCTGTCATAGCAGCACACACACACACACACACACACACACACACACACACACACGTCACCCTACCACACAGGTCACCCTGGGCCCAGCTCTCCTCTGACCCCTCTTCCAGGTTGGTCTGGAAGACAATGCCCCTGCTCCCAGGCCTGGCTCTCTGCCACCGCCCTCCAGCCCCTCCTATTGCCCCAAACTCCTAACCATCTCCCACCTCCGGCTGACCCCCCCACGGGCCCTTTTTCCGTCTTCTAACACTGGAAAGGCACTTAAGACACACGCCATGTCTGTGGTCTCTGCCCTCTCCTGAAGAAACCCACCTGGTGGGGAGGAGCAAGCTGGGAGGGAGCCCGGCTCCGACTTCCCAGCGCAAGACCGTGAACAACAGATCCCAGCCTTTTCTGAGCCTCTGCTTCCTCTGTACTTGGAGGCCCAGGCAAGGTCAAACCCCACATTCTGAGGACCGCGGAGCCTCCAAGACGCCCCGACTAAGAAGACTCACTGTTGCCCCAGGAGAAAGCGCCAAAGACGAACGGGACCTCATCGCAGTGGTCTGCCCTCACGTAGGAGGGTCTGAGGTCCTTGAAGAAGCTGGGCCGGTGCTGGAACTCATAGAAGTACACAGAGCCTCGGGAACCTGGGGTGGGGGCGGGGAGTGTCCCTGTGTCACCCGTGGTGACGAAACACCCAAGTCCAAGGGTGGCTGGAAGCTGGACCTGGATGTTGGAGCAGGGGCCGTGGGAAGGGCTGGGGGGTCAAGTCCTGACCTAGGAACATCTAACTGTGTGGACTTGGGCAAGTCACAAAAATCACTGACCCTCGGGTGCCTCATCTGTAAAATAGGGAACGCCTGTCCCTTCAGCCTTCCCTGGGACTCAGCTCCGAGCCGACCCCTTCCCAGTCAGGCTCTGGCCCCGGCTGTACTCACGATGAAAGTCTGCTACTTGGAGAGCAGGGATCACGAAGAGGAAGTCCCCCATCAGCTCGTGGAACTGGGCGCGGAGGGCCTGGGGGTCCCTGGTGTCCCCCACGTACTCCTCCAGCAACAGGCTGCCGAAGTCTGGAGACACCAGCTACCTCAGGTGGATCAGGAAGAGGGAGGTGAGGCAGGCTGCCGGGGCTCTGGGATGCAACAGTGTCAGGGTGGGGGAGATAGGTCCTGGGAGGGGTTAGGGGGATAGAGAAGTGGCCAGGCTCCCAGGAGACTCCTTGCATAAACACACACATTTGCTCATGGGGGAGACTGCACAGGGTTGGGGGGTGGGTATCGGAGGGGCTGGAACTCTCCTGCCTTGAGGCGGGAAGGGAGGAGCCCCTCGCCACCGCGCAGGGTTCAGGACCCTCACCATCTGTGCTGACATTTTCTCTACGGCAGCCTGGATGCGTTCTCGGTCCCACTCTGACTGGTTATCAGACATGCCTATGGCCTGAGGAAGGGAAGAGTCTTGCGTTGGGGGTGGGATAGGCATGGGCTACTAAGCCCTGGAAGCCACCCCCGAGTGGCACCCTGGGCACCCAACGGGGTGGGGTAGGGGCGTGTGTGAGGTTGGGGCAGGGCCTTACTTCGGGGATGAGCCAGCCATACTCATCGTTGTTGATGCCGATGATGCTGGGCACAGGCTGAAAGTCTCTGGAGGCCAGCAACTCCTGGGGGTGCTTGGGTAGGAAGGCGCCGTCCACCACACCAGGGATGAACTTCAAGAACTGGAGGGCGAGCAAAGTCAGCGGGGCAAGGCTCAATGTCAAGAAAGAGCCCGAGGCGTTTTCTGATGTGCATTGGTGCCCCCCACCCCACCCTGGCTCCTCCAGGATGCTCGTGCCCACCCAGGAAGTTCTACGCCCAGCATGGGTTGGCCTGATCTTAAGTTCTCATCAAGGGCTGCCACTCCATCAGGGCGAGATGGAGTCCCTAGCCCAAGGAGTGTGGAAGGGCACCCAGGCCTCCCTGCCCGGCACCCTCCCTGCTCCCCACTCGCCCCCATCCAGCCCCACCTTGGTGATGGAAAGAAGCTCCTCCTCACTCTTGGCCCGCAGACAGCTCACCAGGGCCTCTGAGTCCACCTGGCCACAGCCCGACAGGTTAGCCACCATCTGCAAAGGGGCCAGACAGGGGCTGACTTGTTTTTTCCGGCACGGCGGACGAGGTTATGGCCCCTCTTGGGAGCAGGTGCACCCACTCCCAATCTCCTAAAGCACCGTGGGTGGTCTCCGGTGACCTCAAAATGGTATCAGCTTCCCAGTGCTCAGCCAGAAGGGCCACCCAGCTGCCCGGGAGATTCTACCCATGCGGGGAGCTCAGCCGGCAGCTCTGGGTCACAGGGCACCCTCAGCCTCTGTCGTGGGATTCTGACCCCTGAGCTCCTCAGCCATCCCCGGGTTGGTATCGCCAGCTGCATGGAGCGGACAGACAGGGTGACGGGGCAGTCTTCGGGGTAAGGGAGGAGGCAGCTTGCTGCCATGGGGCACTCACTGTGAAGATCACGGAGGAGCTGTCGGTGAGGCCAGGCAGCAAGGCCACACCGCTCTCCATGATGGCCCTGTGGAAGAGTCCTTGGGACATGGGGGACACGACATGTGAGGACACGCTTATGCCGCCTGCAGACTCCCCAAAAATGGTGACACAGCCAGGGTCGCCTCCAAAGCGGGCGATGTTGTGCTGAACCCACTGCAGGGCGGCCACTTGGTCCAGGTAGCCCCAGTTGCCTGCCGCACGCTCGTCATTGGTGCTGAGAAGTGACAGAGACAAGGGTCAGCGGGCTGTCCTGGCTCCGCGCAGCCGCTTGGCCCGCCCCGCCCCAGCCTCACCTGTAGTAGCCCAGGATCCCCAGGCGGTACTGAATGCTCACCATCACCACCTCCTCATAGGCAGTCAGGACGGAGCCATCGTACAGAGAGGCCGTGCCCATCACCAGCCCGCCACCGTGGATCCACACCATGACCTGGGGGGTGGAGGCTCGGGTATCGTGGGACCCCCGCTGCCCAACCTAACCCCCCGACCAGGGTGCTCCTTGGGCCACCACTGCTGTAGTTCCACCCATCTACCCACACAGACAGACTCCACGAGGGCAGACAGAAGACCAAGCCTCCTAGCCTTTGGGCCTCAACCCCTGGACCGATGCCTGGCTCTGTGCCTCCCAGAACCGTCTCTGGGGAGGAACGAGAAGGGATGTTTCCCTGATCATCTCACATGCCCTTACACGCATTAAATGGAGCCCGCCCCACAGCGAACGCGTGGTGAGGGTCTCTGGTGACTTCTAAGGGCAGCGCTGGGCACCTGCTGAGGCCCCTGGACAGAAGCTGGGGGGAAGTCACAGGTTCCTCCCTGGGCCATCGAGTCCTCAGGAGCAGCTGGGGCTCTGGGACCCCAGTGCCCAGGGTCCGACAGCGACCCTGTGTAGGAAGCTCCCTCTTGAACCCAGAGAGCAAAGTGGAGACTCCCTGGTGAGGGCCCTCAATGGGCCGGGTCCAATCGGAGTCTATCTAAACTTCTGGCAGTGTTGCTCTCCCCGCCCCTGCCAGTTGGCCTTGGCTGATACTCACTGGCAAGTTGGCGCCCTCTTGGGCATGGGCAGGTGTGTAGATATTGAGGTACAGGCAGTCTTCTGACATGTTGGTGAAGGGCAGGCTCATATTCAGTACATACTTCGCCAGCTTGCTCATCCCCTCGGTGTCCTGCAGGCACCTGGCAGTCACGGCAGACAGTCAGCCATAGGCTGGGCCCGGGGCCAGAATCAGCCTCTGCCTCCACATCCCCGCCCTTCCATCACTCATCAGCCTGTCTTCCCTTGCCAATATTCTGCTCACATCGCTCCTTCCCTGAGGTCCCTTCCCCACCAAGTTGCTGACTCTGGACAAGCTTGGGGGTAGCCTGGCCTTCAGGGGGGAGGGGGGCTGTCAGATTATGGAGGACCTTGGATACCACTTCTGCCAAGACCGAAGCCTTGGGGGGAGAGGGTTCTCTGTGAGAACCGTTGGTTCATGTGTTGACAACTCCCCGCCATATCCCTAAATGCAGAGAGACTTGTGGAAGCTCACTCCTCTGGAGAAGGGGAGTGGGCCACTCCCCAGCCCGAGTCAAGATATCCATCAGTCCCCCAGGGTCCTGCTGTAAGGACATATACACATAGGAGTATCTGCTGCATCTAGTCCTGCTGCTTGGCACAGTGAGAGTGAGGGTCCCTGAGGGCCACCTCTGCTCCTCTCCTCAGGGGGCTACAGTATTTCTGCCGGAGCCAGTGGTTCCTACAAAGCTCCCAGGGCACATCCGAGCTGCTCCGGAGACACCTCTCACAGGTGAGGGACCACTTAGCATCACTAGAGCCTGGGCCTGACACCCTCCAGGTGCTGGGTTTTGAGCCAGCAATCTGGCTCCGGTCACAGACGGTAACCGGAGGAGAAGTAGGCAGGGACCCATCAGGCTGGGTTCAGAAGGATGACAAGCCCACAGTACCCTCTCCAGAGTTCCTCCTACCCTAAAGCCTGGCATTCCCTGGGCCCCTAGGGGAGCGCTTACATGGCTGGATAGACAGTCGCGTCCCGCACACCGCTCCACGGTTCAGGGGGCTGCGGGGGTGCAAACCGTAGTGCCCCCAGGGGCGGCTTGGCAAAGGGAATTCCCAGGAAGACGTGGACCCTCACTTCGGAGTCCTTCACGTGTTTGAGGCTTCCCTGCACCTGCCCCGTGTGTGTGGTCCGAATGAGGCTGGCAGAGTCCTGGCCTGTGGGCAGAGATGGACCTCAGGTTGGCGTCTGCCCCATCGGATCAGCTGACCCATCGGACCATGGAAGCTGCTGGACCCTTCGGAGCCACAGTTCAGTTTGAGGGCTCTTTTCCAACCTTGTGGCATGTGATCCTGCCCCCACTTCTAATGCACCTGCTTTCGCTGGGTCTGGCCCCCCAACCTTGACAACTGGACCATGCAAAGAAAGAGGACCCTAGACGCAGACTTGCAAGAGAAGAAAAAGACCTCCAGACACAGCGTGAGGAACGCACGGACAGAATGAAGACCGCCAGGGGGCGCTGCAAAGGCCAACGCCCGCCCGTGCTGGCAAAAAGTGAGCTGGAGACAGGATCACAGGAGGAATAAGGAGTCTCTAGTCGCTGGATCTGGGATGGCTCAGTGGAGTTTTCGCCAGAGAATTAATACACTATAAAACCTTTCCAAAAGAAGTCTTGTGCGGAAGATGGCAGTGAGTTGGGTTGGGTGGGTGGGTTTTGGTGGCAGGGGGGCTGTGCAGCCTGGGGAGGGAGGGGGAGAAAGGAGGTAGAAAGATGTGACTGTCTGCCTTCCTAAAGACTGGGGTCCTGGAAACCATGGGCCCCTCTACTCTGTCCTGCAAGGGCTCTGTGAATTGGAATCATTGCGTGGCAGCGGGTTTGGTGGCCCGGTGGTTAAAAGGCTCAGCTGCTAACCCAAAGGCCGGCAGTTGGTGGACCCACCAGGGAAGGGGGAAGGAATGGATGACAGCCTTAGAACCTCCACGGGGCAGTTCTGCTCCGACCTGGAGGGGGGCTCAGAGGTGAATTCACTGGACAGCGGTGGGTTGGGACCATTCAGCTGAAAGGCTAGGGCACACACATACATTCTTTCCTGAAAGAACTCCCCGGCTGTGTGTGAGGAAGGGCTCCTCCCTAAGGAGGAGTGAGGACTTGCTGGGGCAGAAGAGAGTCCGGTCCACCACTCCCTTGCCCAGTGTGCTTTCTGAATGTGAGTTCAGTGCAAACCTGCTTTGAAAGGAGGCCAGCAGACCCTGCCCAGCAGGAGCTCCAGGGCTGAGATTCCAGGCACACATAAGTGGGGTGGGGCGGTGGGAGGTAAGTTACAGTGCAGGGAGGACCCTGGGCAGATCCACCCCCAGAGCTCATGGAGAACGCTGGCGCTAGGACCCTGGGTCAGTTGCCTGCAAGTCCAGGGCCTTTGCCAAGGGCCCAGAGGCCGTGGCTGGGGTGACGGCTACTCTGACCCAAAGCTCGGTGGGAAGCAAGTACTCAGCAGCTCCCGATGAGGCAGAAAGAGCTGGCAACCTGGTTCTGCGAGGAATGTAGCTTCCTTGGAAAGCCCAATGGGTGCCATTCCAGTCTGTCACAGAGGGGGTTGGCACGTGCCAAAATCCATGGGGTGGCACCCATCAACTTTGGCTGGGACTCCTGGGGAGGGGGCACTCAATGGGTCCTGGGCACCCCTCTGGTCTAGGGCAGGCCGAGGGGACTTCAAAAAATTGGTGCCAAAATGGAGTTAAAAGTTATTGGAAAATGCCACGAAGTTTTTGATGCCCCTTTGTAGTATTATCAGTTATTGCTGCTGTCACCCTCCAGCAAACCGGAGGGAAATGTCCCCCAGTCCCTCCGCCACAGGAGGGCCACGCACAAGGACAACCCCACCCTCTCCGGGGGCTCTGGCCTCCCTCCCGGGCCCATCTTCCCTCCCGAAGCCTCAGGCTGTGCCCGGCAGAGCCTCACCCCGGGCCTGGACCAGGAGAAGCAGGAGCCCGCAGGCCACGGCACTCCGCCACTCCGGCTGCATGGTGCCCGCACGTTCTCCTTTCTGCCGCTTGCAGAAGCTGCTCCAGATGGCGCCTCGGCCAGTGGCTGCCTCGCACTGCCCGGGAGTTTATACTTGACCAGGAGTTTCAACTGGCCCCAGAGGGGGCGGAGCTGGTCGCCGGGGCCAACCTGGGCAAAGGTCGAGCTGGCATCTGAGTTGGGCTGACCGGCCAGGATGGGGCGAGGAGCAAGGCAGGGATTTCTGCAGCCCATCCATTGGCCCAACACCCCCCCCTCCTTCAAAGCTGAGGGCACTGCTTTCACTGTCCTGGCCAAGAAGTTGAGGGGTCTTCAAGTTGTGATTGGAGAACCCAGTGAGGCTTCCCTGAGGAGGTACTTCCATAGAAGACTTCCATAGATGCAGAAATGGGACCCACCTTGGTGTAGAGGCCGAGAGGCGTGGCTGCCCTTTGTCCTGACATGCCTCCCTGATTTTCTAGGGCTCTGAGCGTCTTGGGTGGCCTCTTCAGTCTCTACCCTCCCCACCACCATTACCACCACTTGCTCTCCCTGATCTAGGCTCTCTGAGGACCCTCCTTCCCGACTGTCAGGGCTCAAACTCTTTTCTTTTCAAACAAAAGCCATTGTTCTTGTGAAAATGTGTGGATTTACATTCAGCACTTTTTGTGACCACATGGGTTGCAATCTCTACCACTTGCAACATCAGGTCTTCTGCCTCCTTCCTGTTTCTTGTTTCTAAATTGGGTCCTTGGGCAAATGCTACTCTTGCCCAATGGTTGATGGTTCTCTCAACTCAACTCGCTGCAACAGAGTTGCTGCTGACTCTTCCCAACACCCCTGTGGCCCCTACGTTCTCCCACGGAAGGCTGGTGGTTCTGAACTAAGGACCATGGGGATCGAAGCAACCCACTACACTATGAGAACTCTGAAGGTGGATTATTCTAAAAAATGCAAGGTGTACTCCTTCACCTTGTACATCTAGTGTTTGGTTAAGAGTCGGGGGTGGGGTGAGTTCAAGGCCAAGCCTCAAGGGCATAGTTCCACAAGTCCCACAGGTCAATTGTCCTTCCTTTTTTTTTTTTTTTTTAAACATTTTATTAGGGGCTCATACAACTCTTATCACAATCCATACACACATCAATTGTGTAATGCGCATTTGTACATCGTT